AGAGAGAGAGAGAGAGAGTGTGTGTGTGTGAGAGAGAGAGAGAGAGAGAGCGAGAGAGAAAGAGAAAGAGAGAGAGAGGTTATTAAATGCCAGTCAGTTTGTTCCGTTGCAGTGGTAAACAACCCTCATCAGCAGTCACAATGTTGTTTGTGAACAGATGAATTACTGCCAATAACTCCTCTAATTGTGTTAAGCATTGAGACACTGTGTATGTGTGTATGTGTTTTCATGCATGACTGTGTAAGCTGTCTACAAAAGGGCTCGTGCATTTGCACCAAATGAATCAAAAGAAAAGAATACAAAAAAGCCCTCAGGACATTCTGTTAATGCTCAAACTGGAATATGTCAGTTTTAGCTGCACTAGCAGGGCGGCTCCATGGATGGCATGTCAACCACACTGGTCTACTTTATTTACTACTTCACAGTCTTAACAACTATTTGTTGGGATTGCCATGTCTTTTTGTTAATTACCAAAAAATCATAACATGCTATACTGAAATGGTGAAACAATATACCTGCTATATATTAGTATGTTTGCATTGTCTTTGTTAGCATGTTAGTGAGCTGAAGTTATCATTTAGTCCAAAGCCATCCTGTGCCAAAGTAGGCTACAGCCTCAGAGAGCCACTAGCATGGCTGTAGACTCGTGGTCTTGGTATTTGTACTTTTGAGTGATCAAATGAATCAAAAGTCTGTGTCCCTTAAAACTCCTTAAAACTTGGCTTTAAATCTTAATTATTTCTCTGTACCATTTAAAAAAAGAGTAAAAAGAAAACATCCTTAGGTATTATTTATTAATAGTAGCATCCTCAAAAACCCAGCCAACCTGCTTCACCAGCACTGTGTGGGTGTTCAGATTTGATTGACAGTTACCAACAACCCATCAACTGTCATCAGATTCTGATTCAACAGCTGCTAAATCCCAATTTGTGCAAAATACTTGACATCAGCTTTCTCCTACTGAACCCAGAGGAAAAATATAAATCTAGGCATTTCATGTGAAATGACCAAAATTGTATTACTTTGGCATAAAATTGTGTGTTTGTGTAGTAGGCCATTACTAGGAAGACAATGATTCAGTAAAACCATTTCAGTGGTTCAAAGTCAATGCTTAGTAACAATTTAGTGAGATGAGCATGTAAGAGCCTGCATGTGTGTGCATGTTTGGGTTTACGTATGTGCGTGTTTAAAGCCCTTTGAAACCAGCTCTGCTGTTATTGGGACGTGCTCCAGGGATTTGTCCTGTTCCCACAGTGTTCTCTGTCTCTTTGAAATAATGGCTCTCAGTGCATCCTTACTGCAGGGGTTCCAAGCTTTTTTTAGGAAGTTTGGCACACGGCACGGCGGGAAAATTCCTTAAACCCATAAAGATACGAAAGAATGTGTGTCTGCCTCATGTCACACTTAATACTGTAGTTGATATGCAAGTTTTAGGCTGGTTTGTGACGTGGTTACAGTCAAACAGGCTGCAAAAGTCAAAGTTCAAAGTAAAGATGTTAGACTGTTATTGGTGTTTTGATGAGTTTCAGGTCATTTTTATGAGCATAAGCAAATCACTAAACACATTTTTTGTAAATATTTTATTGAAGGTGTGTGCACACGTTGCGAAATAATGTATGTGTATATGACTGATGTCCCCCTCTATATGTGTGTTTGTGATCAGACCTGTGTATGGTGATCAGGGGTCTGCAGCCAACACTCGCACACGCCCTGGCACTGATTGGACCCATTCACAGAGGTACTTTTATGAACCTATCCTCTTTTTTATTTCACTTTCTAGTTATCTCTATTGACTTCTTTTGTCCCGTTCATGTTGTTCTAAGGATGTTTTGTATTTTTTGTAATCATGATTCATTGTCTCTCCCTCTTTTCTTATTTTTGTCTCCTTTTTCTGTTTTTCTCTGTCTTTTTCTGTTTTTCTCTGTCTTTTTCTGTCTTCTTTTATCTTGCTGTAGTAATGTGTTTAAGGAGACTCTCTCTATCCCTCCCCCCTGTGGTCTGTCCATCTCCTGTCCTCAGCAGATCTCTCACTTCTCTTCCGCTGTTAGGTATCACCTTCAATTCAACCCTTTCTGAATGCTGGAAATACTGCACTGATGAAGGAAAAGCACACAGTTTGCAGGAAACAGACATACAAATATTGTATTTCCTTCTAGTATTTTGAAGTTTATTAAGTATGTTAAAAGTACTTTATCTGTTAAAGAGCACAAACTGATTGTCTGTCACTTTCCCAGCAGCCTTGACGATTCATGGTCATCAACGCCGAAGAGCGACTCAGAGCTAACCAATCAGAACAAAGACAACCCGGAGATGTTGTGGACCTGGGGGGAGCTGCCACAGGCTGCCCAGGTATCTACACAAACACACACACACACACTGCGCATGTTATTACTTTTGCTTATTACATGTTGCTACATGTGTTGTAAAAATGTCACTACATTGAAAGCAACAGTTCTTCTTTCTTGAAGAAAATTAAAAAAAGAAGATTGATACCACATGTATGTTGAATATGAAGACATCAGCAGGTTAGCCTAGCTTTGAATGAAATCTGGAAACGGTACCCAACAGTAACAAAATCCACCAACCAACACCTCTGATGCCAGGTAAAAAGCAGATACTTTAGGAAGTTACTGCTCCTGACCAGGAAATAGTCTATATAATAGTATATAACCTTGAAACGTCATTTTTGAGCCATGATTTTTGGATGGATTTAACAAATTAGATGGTTTTTATTAGTGAGTTTTGGAGGTGCTGGTAGGTGGATTATGTAATCGTTGGACACAGCCAGGCTATCTGCTTCCCTCTGTTCCCAGTCTTTATGCTTAGCTAAGCTAACAGGCAGCTGGTTCTAGCCACATATTTGCCATATTTGACAGTGGTATCAACCATCCCATCTAAAGAAAGCAAATAAAGGTATTTCCCAAAATAAAGAGATTTAAACAGACATAAGGCAAGGAAGGGTAGAAACATACTTGAGTCCAAAAAAGGATGAAAGGTTTGATTTCTGTTTCTCTCTCTCTCTCTCTCTCTCTCTCTCTCCCCCTCTCTCTCGCAGCCATCCTTCCTGACTTCCCACCAGAAGCAGGACTCTGCCATAGCAGTCTCCATCCCGATGTCTGCCAGCACTCACTTCAGAGCCATCAGTGACACTGGACCCCCCTCACTCAGTCTTTATGTTCCCCAGCCAGGGGAGACTGCTGCTCACAGTGGGGAAAAGGACACAGAGGAAAGCAAAAATGGAGCCAGGGTCAGATTAAGCATTAAGACTGAGGACAGGGTTGGAGGAGATGAAGGTAGATATATGGAGGACAATATTGCTTTTAATGTGCATAATGACATACTAAATTGTGTTATTGTTAATTTATCTTCATTTGTATTTAACATATTATTTAAGGATAATGCCCTCTGAACCACAGTGGAAGTTGTTTGCAGGTTACAGGCATCTACACCACCTCTCTGTCAGACTATAGTACTTTCTCCAATTCAAGTGTGATGAATAATCCTAGCAGGAAATTCTGAAGTTAACCTTGTGTGTCAGTACATCCTGGGACCCATGAGTTTGTTTATGTGCTATTTTCTCCTTAGGGAGAGAGGTGGAAAGTGTCGGCTTATCATGTGGAGAGATGGAGGGTTTAACAGCCTGCTCAGTGTCTCCCAGGGTTCTCCCTGATCATCTTGATCAAGGTGGGAATAGAGGAAGTCCCATCAGAAGAACTGATTCGCCCTCTAAGAAGAAAGGTACAGTGCTCCATCAAAATACAATGTCTAAATGTTTTAAATATAATCTATTATGTCTGATCATGTGTGATATTGTCTCTTGTTAGAAAAGAGAAGCCAACACCTGGGATCTGATGGCATATACCTGGATGACATTACAGAGCTGGAGCCTGAAGTAGCTGCTCTCTACTTTCCTAAAAGGTTCAGTAACAAACATAGATGTGCCGAACATGTATGTGCATGCCTTCATACCAGTACAAAACATAATCCACCCCATTTACACACACACACACACACACTCATACACACACACACACACACAAACTGTATAAAGGGCTGTCATGTGGTGTAGTTCCCCCTCTAGTGGCCACCATGGAAGAGATGAGAAAACTCTCTGAAAACGTTTTTTTTACAAATTAAACAGATTTTTTAATTTTAAATACTGAATATTACAGGTAAATAATTATACTTATACTATACTACTATACTATACTGTGCACATCAACATTGCTGCTTTTTTTAATTTTTTACATTTTATACCACTGTGTAGACACTTTAAGGCACTTGAGGCTTGTGTTTGTTTGACCATAATCATCTAATTGACCCACACCATCACAACAGTATTTTTCAGAGATGAATGAGAATGTATATGTTTCTCTCTACCCTCAGTGATGGAGGTGGTAGCTCCATGAGGGGAGACTCAGAGATGATGATGATGGGAGTACGGAGCGCTAACCAGTCCCCACAGTCAGTGGGCAGCAGTGGGATGGACAGCGGCGTAGACAGTTTGTCTGACCAAATAGCGACCCTGCCTCATGTCGCCATCTCTTTGTGTGGAGGACTCACTGACAATAGGGAGATCACAAGAGGTAGGTTAAGGAATGTACAAGGAGGCAATGACAGATGCCTAAAACCTAAGCTTACATTGCTGTTTAATTTTTACTTTTAAAAAAATGCTTGTCTAATGTCTCGTTCTGTTATAGATTGACAATTTTATTCTTAGAATTTTTTTTTTAAACATCAGTCTGTCAATCTGTATGTATTCTTGCCTCTGTATGTACCATGTTTATGTTTTATGACACAGAGCAGTTCCAGGAGAGGGCAATTTCCTACCAGCAGTTCTCTGAAAACCCTTCAATTATTGATGACCCTAACCTGGTGGTCAAAATAGGAAACAAGTATGTATTGATTAACTATACTATTACTATTTAATAGCAAATTGTAATAAATAATTAGAAACTATGACAATATACACCGATCAGCCATGACATTATGACCACTGTTGGGTGAAGTGAATAACACTGTTTATCTCTTTATCATGGTACCTGTCAGTTGGTGGGATATAGTAGGCAGCCAGTGAACATTGTGTCCCCAAGTTGATGTGTTAGAAGCAGGAAAAATGGGCAGCGTGAGGATTTTTGATTGCACGTGGGGAGTGAAGGTTGGTCTGTGTGGTCCGATCCAACAGAGGAGATACTGTAGCTCAAACTGCTGAAAAAGTGAATGCTGGTTCTGATGGAAAGGTGTCAGAACACACAGTGCATCACAGTTTGTTGTGTATGGGGCTGCATAAAATTATGACCACCAGCGTGCCCAGGTGGTCATGTTATGGCTGATCGGTGTATATGAAAAGCATATTTATATCTTTGGCAACAATAAGTTGAAGCTCCATTGTTAAGATTTAGGAGGATCTATTGACAGAATGTATCTTTTATATCTAGACACCGCAGTTTGCCTTCCATGGACACAGCAATGTTTAACCGCCATGTTTCTACAGTTGTCCAGAACAAACAAACCAAACACTAGGGTCTAGGATTGAAGCTGTTAGCGGAGTTTCAAGAGCAGGACCACACCTCAATCATGTCACTTCGGGGATTCCCATACCCTACTAACCCCTCTCCTCCCCTTTTGCTCTTGTATTCTACGCCCCTCCCCCACCCCTTTCTATTCATTATATCTTACTCTCATTCCTACTCTCCAAGGGGTCCTAGGGGGTCCCTCATGCCCGAGTGCTATGGCGGATTCCCAAACAAAGTTTCCCAACAATACAACAGCATACAAGAAAGTCACTATCAAGCATAATACAACATTTTTCATTCTGTTAATTAATCAGTTAAACCTAACTTGATATTGGTGTGGTCCTTGCTAGCGAAAGAGCTGTTCGCTTTTTTGTTTCCGCCACTGTAGTTTCTCCTTTTGTCCTTGTAAGGGGAGGTTGAAACAATGCTGCAGTAAGAAACAGAGCCTCGACATTTTGGCAGAAATGCTTTAACCTGTTTCTCTTGCCTAAAGCTAGATCAGAAGATTGATGCCTCTGATTGTGGTATTGCTCTTCTCATCTAACTCTCGGCAAGAAAGTAAGAATCAAATGTGCCGACTGTCTTTTGCAGATTGAAGTCTGAGGTGTAAAGAAGTGCTTAGAGCGCTCTCTGTCATCTGTTGTAGGTACTACAACTGGAACACAGCAGCTCCTGTCATGTTGGCCATGCAAGTCTATCAGAAACCGTTGCCACAGGTAAGACCACCACAGTGATACACAAATACTCTCATTTGTCTCCTTGTCTCCTGTTAAATGTATGTTTCATACTATCAGTTTATGGCAAGTATTTAGATTTATTTCAATTGTATATCAGCTAAAGTAAAAGTATTCATTGTGTAACAAAATGGACCCTCTCATTTTTATATTATTATACATTATATTACTGGATTATGATTACTGGTGCATTAGTGTGTAAGCAGCATTCTTATGTTGTAGTACTTTATATACTAATCTATAAAATGCATCATAATTTAAAATCTGAATCTGCAAAGTAAACTACGAGTGTCAGATAAATGCAGTAGAGTAAGAGGTACAATATTTCTTTCTGAAATGTTATTAGGAAGAAAATGAAATACTCAAGTTAAGTACAAATGCCTCAGGGCTTCTTTTTTTTAATCATGGGATTAAAATAATTGACTTACTTACTTACAACATACCTGTACCTCAGGGTAAGGTTATACAGAATACAATGCTTTGATTATCATTATATTTGTCAGCTTGAGTTTGGTGTCTTTTAGTGTTCTGCACCCTCCTGCATCACTTTCTCCTGTGCACTCCCAGCATTTTGCAATAAATTTTTCTTAATCTGATGTTTCACTTTGGTTTAGTGTTGCCATCTGCCAGCGTCCTCTCATTATTTCATTAAAATTCTACCAAATGTTACCAAATTATGTGTGTTTATATTTGTTTCTGACTGTCATTACCAATATTCAACCATTTCAGTTACTGTTGTACAGTACACATGATATTTAGGTACTATTTAGTCTGATATGCCAGTAATTAAAATGAGGAATCATCATAGCTGCCAATCTTATACCACAGTGAAATATGGCTTTAAATCTAACTAGTTCCCTAACACTTATAATAATGTCATGTCTTTATCCCCCTCCTTATTTTTTTATTTTTTATTTATATATTTTCTTACTCCCGTCATCCATGCAATGTTTGTGTGTGCTAAGTGTTGGTGTTTGAGTTATGTGTTTTCTGCTTTTGGCCTCTTCTCATACTGCCTCCCTGGTCTGTTTGGCTCCAGCCCTTCCCAGCCTGTATGATATTTTCTGGCTTTGCTTGGATGTTGGTCAGGGCATGTCTTTGTCTTTATCTGCCTACCATCATTTCCCACCATTGTTAACTGTCTTGCATGTCGCTCTCTTTCCCCTTGTGGCGTGTCTTGTTACAACCTTTAGAAGTCTCTTCCTTTCAGGTTTTACTTTGCATCCTTTGTTTGTGTGCCATAGATTTTCCCCTGTAACTGCCTTTATTTTGTGTTGTGCCTGTTTGTTGTGTTTTATTTTGCATTTGGGATTGTTAATTTTTTGTGCTTTCTGTTCATCTGTTTATGGGTAGACATGTGTTTTCACTTTCTTTTGAGCTGTTTCTGTCAGTTTTGAGTTACATTTTCAATCATTTTTGAGTTGTATGTGCATGGTTGTCTCCAGGCCTCAGTGGAGAACATCATGAAAGAGAAGATGCCAAAGAAAGGAGGACGCTGGTGGTTCTCATGGAGGAGCAGAAACAATGACTCCAAATCAGTAAGTATGCAGATACACAGATATAATTTGTCTAATTTGTCCATATCCTTCATATAATTTACAGTAAAGATTGTCAGAGGGGGAAAGGATAGAAGGCTGGAAGCCATATTTGTTCCTTACCATCAACCTTTGACCTTTGTAAACTTCAGGAATCAGTGACAGAGGCAGAAGGAGACCAAGGAGAGAGTTCACTCACTATGCCCTCAGTAAACAGGTGACCTCAGACTATAAATCACCATATTTTTCCCTCAAACACATTCTTATCAGTTTCCATAATTTCATCTTATACTTATGACTTTTTAGGATGAAGGATGAGTCATCCTCTAGTGATGAGGACCACAGATCATCCAATCAGGCGTCAGGATCCTGCCAGTCAGAGCTCCTCATGAGTTCTGGCAACGTCTGTTATAAGAAGACTCTTCGGCTTACCTCAGAGCAGCTGGTACGTATTCCAACAGTTGGATTTATTGACATTAAGGGGAATAAAACATGCAAACAAGTTGGCAGCTTTAAAGCTCCATAGTGACTTAGCACATGTTGCACACATGGTTCACTATGATAAAGCAGGAATGTGGGCAAAGAAATGTCTCTGCTTACAAAACAAACATGGATACATATAAATCTTTAAATGGACACCAAGAATAAAAACATTTATGGATTAAATTTTCTATCGCCACAAAAATACTGTAATGATAGATGAAAGTTGGCAACACTGTGTGTGTATTATATTATTATTATTAGTGTGATATTATTCTTGCATTTTGCACAATGAACCAGGATGATGTATTTTTTCATCGTCCCCACCTGATATGTGTGATGTATGTGATGCAGCAGATTATAGCATCCTTAGCATAATCTTCCTTCTTTCAATCTGTGTGTGTCTGTGCTTGCTTTTGCGGTGTGTGTGTGTGTGTGTGTGTTTGTCTTTACAGGCTAGCCTGCAGCTGAAGGAGGGTCCTAATGATGTGGTGTTCAGTGTGACCACTCAGTATCAGGGCACCTGTCGCTGTCATGGCACAATCTATCTTTGGAGCTGGGATGACAAGATTGTCATCTCCGACATAGATGGAACTATCACCAGGTAAAGGAAAGCAAGATAGTCCCGCTTTCACAGTTATTAGCCAATTCACCTGCGACGACAAAAGAGCCTGTGAAACAAGGAAGTTCAGTTTCAGCTTTTCATCAGTCGATGTCAGGCTTTACACAGATCTGATGTTGGATATATGTCTCTATTTATCTCTGCTGTATTTAGGTGTATCAGTATTGATTGTGTGATGTTGCTCTCTTGTGTCACGCTGTAGGTCAGACACCCTGGGTCACATCCTCCCCACACTGGGTAAAGACTGGACCCACCAGGGTATTGCACGGCTCTACCACAAAGTCAGCCAGTGAGTGCTACCTTACAATCTGCACACAGTTATACAGCTAAGGAAATCTGGCAAAATCTATTTCTATTCTATTATTTTAATCTCTATTTTGTTTGGCTCATTGTTTATTTTCTTTTAACTCATATATATGTAATATCTGGTCATCATTCTAATGATATCTTATTTGAACCATACCATAAGTACAGCTAATTAAAAGCTCTCTGTCACAGGAATGGATATAAATTCATGTACTGCTCGGCGAGGGCCATTGGCATGGCTGACATGACGCGAGGCTACTTGCACTGGGTCAGTGAGAGGGGAACCATGCTGCCAATGGGCCCAGTGCTGCTCAGCCCCAGCAGCCTTTTTTCTGCCTTGCACAGGTCAGTCACAGGCCACATGTACAAACAAGCTACATTGAAAAATCAGAATTCATATGGAACCATTAAAATAAAACTGAAAATATTGATTGATTTTTTAGTTAATGATAATACAGTAATAACATCATTTATTTATATTGTTATTGCAATAGCATGTAAAGAGGCTCACAGACACCCATTAATCAAAGATTTCTGTTGTCATATGCAGATATTGTAAATGTTGAAATTTCTATGCTTTTATTACCCTCATTATTTTGCATCTCTTAGCTAATTAATCTCTTTCAAAGCCCAATTACATGTGAACAGATAGGCATCATGGATAAGCCACAAAAAAAGGATAAAAACATAACTCCCAGTAACATGTGTTTGATGTCGTGTTGTGTAGGGAGGTGATTGAGAAGAAACCAGAGAAGTTTAAGATTGAGTGTCTCTCAGACATCAAGCATCTTTTCTACCCAAACACAGAACCTTTCTACGCTGCTTTTGGCAACAGAGCTACGGTGAGACTACTGCACACGAACAAGCATGTACTTTCTCTGTAACAAGAGGACTGCATTATGAAGTTGGGGAATTGTTGGGGCCTTGGTTTTTTATTTCACAAGGAATTTTATTCTTTTAAAGTGTTGGTACCTCTTGTTTTTGGTAGTGATACTGATGTTATGTGTGATTTCAGGATGTGTATTCCTATAAGGAGGTGGGTGTTCCTCTGAACAGGATTTTCACTGTCAATCCTAAGGGGGAGCTGATACAGGAGCACGCCAAAACCAATATCTCCTCGTAAGCTATATTCTCTGTTTCACATAATTTCCATCCATTTAATCTGACTCTGTATCTGTGTACACATATGTTTGACTGTCTGAATTCTAGTTTTGCAGACTGTAAATGTCTGTGTGTCTCCCTCTCAGCTTTGGGCGTCTGTGCGAGGTGGTCGACCATGTCTTTCCAGTCCTAGTTCGAGCTGAGGGAGCAGAACTCCCGTGCACTGACACCTTTGGCCAGTGCAACTACTGGAGTGAACAAATTCCTGATGGCATCAACCAGGAAGAAGAAGACACACAAACACTTGAGACAAGCTAAGAAACCCCCATCAAATCCAGCACTGAAGACGCTGTGTTCTAGCTTTTCAACACAGCACAGTCAGGCACCACATTGCGGTCAGTGGTTTTGTGATTCATCGTGTAGCCGGCAGCCAAAATGTCAAAATGCTGATTATTTTACAATCATGGCACCAACATGTTACTTAAGATAATTATAACAGCGACTACTGATTCAAATTAGATGAATGTGTTTTCAATATCCCTCAATAACAAATCACCTTGCCATCATTCAGCAGAACACAAGCAGATATTTGAGTCAATTTCAAATAAGTTTAAAAAAACAGCAAATGAATTGATTTGAGAAAAAAAGAGGGGAAATGCATTTCAACAGCTGCCTGAGGAGTGCTCAAGACTCTCATATCACACCTTTGCAAGTGCACTGACACACACACACACACATACATACATACACATGAGTAAAACTTCCATAGCCAACGCACAACACTGCAGGATATAAGTATAATATCCATCACTGCATGTTTTTTAGCTCCTTAAGAGATTCCTTTGACTACCAGGTTACCAGTCTCTTCTTCATACCACAACACTCTTCATTTACACCGGTGGATAGAAAAGCTTCCACACACATGAAAACAATTATTTTGCGCCCGTATGGCTATATGAAGTCCACTAAAACATAAGGACTCATCGTGTTAAATTAGATAAAAAAATATTTTGCAGAAATTCTGCTGGATTATATGCAAGCAGCCCTTCCAGACTGGTTTCCACATTTGACAATAAAATATAAATTATACAATTCAGATTTTCAAACCAGCCTGTTTTGTGCATCAAATAATCAGTAGAGACTGACTTGGTTAAAGTTTTACCTGGTCCAGGTATGTGGTAGTATTCTTTTCTGACCTCAAGTGCAGTAGACACAGCACTTTGCACCAGAAACACCACATTATAGTACATTATTGTAAAATCATCCAGAACATGCAAAAATAGCACAGATAGTGTATCCAGTCCTCTTCTGTGCCAAACTCTTTTGCAGGTCCAGTTAAATGTGTGTGGTCTTCTGACCAAGTTACTGTGAAAGATGTGGCTCTGGCACATTTTCTAACTAGTGTTCATTGACATTACTCAAGATAAATGCAGGACAATGCAAATAACTTCAGTCTGTGTTCTTTCTGTCTGTTTTTATACGTACGTACGTAATAAATTAACACCAGTGATATGCTAGAATGTAGTACGTAAATCACTCAGAGTGTGTTTTATTTTAACGACTAATGCTCATCAATGCAATCACTGTATACGCCCATACAGGACTACAATTATGTATTTTTTGTGTTGTAATGTTACTGCACAAATCAGTATACGTTTATGTAAAGCACTTATCTGTCCTATAGTGGAGAATGAATGCAGTATATTCAGATGCTGTAAGGATCTCTCTTTACAAACGCACCTATTTTCCGTTGTTTATACGTTTTAATTTTTTATCAAATGTTTTCTGTTAACATCTACTGTACTTCGTTTATGTGAGATGGATGCCTGTCTGCCTGATTGTTTTTACCACATGTATAACTTAAAATGGGGGAAACCACTGTAAAAAATGAAGGGTTTTTGTTTTTTGAGAATCCGCTAACATTTTGAGGGCTGATATGTTGTCTGAGATACTTTGCTAATGGTGCTCATTCAATGAACTTTGCCATTTTATGCTTTACTACAAATGTCTTTCTAAACCAGCTGCCTCCTGTTGCACTAAGAGGTGGCAGTTTCGATGTGACCACTAAAGCAATAGATCAACATGAAGGTATTTTAGGAAAGCCAATACATGGATTAATAGATTGATGTAACATCAGCTGTTAATCCTACATCACTTTGTTTCATTTGGTCCCTCTGGTTTATATCATGGGCATCATGATCGGCAGTTACATGAAGTACAAACTACAGTATGTTTGAAAATACTTGTAATTCTTGCTTCTCCAATATAAAACCGCCTTTATTCATGTTAAGTCAAAATTGAATGGCTGAAAACAGCTTTGAATGAATGACATATCTTGAAGAAAAAGAATAAGAAATTCTACTATCATCTTGATTTTAAATGATCTGGAAAAACAAATCTCAAAGTAATTAACCAGATTTTAGTTAGAACTTAACAAGGGTATTTGTACCCTGATATTAATGTATCCTATATTGAAAAAAAGTAAAATCAAAATGGCAGATTACTGTGAAAATGAAATCTGACTGTAGTCTGACTGAGTGTGACTATGTCTGTTATACTGTTATATACTCTTTGTGCTTTGATGCTGTATTGTGGTTGACTTTGCCTAAAGGAAACTAATCAGGAATGAACCCTCGATCTGATCTAAAACTGTTAATGTTGACCATGATGTTGACATGCCTTTTGGTGAGTCCAGTTTAATTTGTATCAGAGGAAAAGATGCATGCTTTTGTAATGTTAAAATATATGCATATTTACATGGATGTAATGGTCACTGTCTTGTCACCTGATGTTTGTAGGGAAGTACCTAAAAAAACAGAGAGACATTAAACTGTTTGGCTAAAAACTGTCTATTATGACAGTTTGGGGCTTTGACATAATTTATTATAACAACGAGGTTTAAGATATAATTATTCCGTTCAAAAACAGACTCTGATCTATGTGAGGTCAGTGTCACTTAATAATCAAAACACACTTTTCACATGATTATGTGACAGTTTCTGGTAATTATAGCATAAAGATCTATTATAATATTTTATCTATTAAATATGGAAGTCAAAGGAAGCAAAGATGACATGTCTTTTTCAATGTACGTAATGCTCTTCCCAATTTTTTGGTAGTAAATCATATTTTTGATGATTATCACCTAATTCTTTCTGTGAAAGATCTGTTTAAACTCTTGATCCAGTCTGTCTCTGTCTCGACATGGATGTTGATGAAGTGTGTTGTCCCGTGTAAAGATTATGTTATGCTAAGCAGGAGCCTACCGAGCAGTGTGCAGTGCAAGCTATTGTTAACAATGTAGTTTGAATAAATCTGTGCAATGGACACATTTTTCAATAAACTCAAAGGTGGTTGCTTCTTTGTGTCATACTTTCTGTCTACTCTGGCAATGCAACTGTTGTTTTCCTTGCTTTCCGTCTAGTCCCCACAAAGTCAAAATGCAACTAAATATTTGATCATAATTTAGTTTAATATATATATATATATATACACACACTACCGTTCAAAAGTTTCACCCAGACAATTTCATGTTTTCCATGAAAATCACACTTTTATTCATCAAATGAGTTGCAAAATGAATAGAAAATATAGTCAAGACATTGACGAGGTTAGAAATAATGATTTTTATTTGAAATAATAATTTGGTCCTTCAAACGTTGCTTCCGTCAAAGAATTCTCCATTTGCAGCAATTACAGCCTTCCAGACCTTTGGCATTCTAGCTGTCAATTTGTTGAGGTAATCTGAAGAAATTTCACCCCACGCTTCCTGAAGCACCTCCCACAAGTTGGATTGGCTTAATGGGCACTTCTTACGTACCATACGGTCAAGCTGCTCCCACAACAGCTCAATAGGGTTGAGATCTGGTGACTGCGCTGGCCACTCCATTACAGACATACCAGCTGACTGCTTCTTCCCTAAATAGTTCTTGCATAGTTTGGAGGTGTGCTTTGGGTCATTGTCCTGTTGTAGGAGGAAATTGGCTCCAATCAAGCGCTGTCCACAGGGTATGGCATGGCATTGCAAAATGGAGTGATAGCCTTCCTTCCTTTTACCTTGTACAAATCTCCCACTTTACCAGCACCAAAGCAGCCCCAGACCATCACATTACCTCCACCATGCTTGACAGATGGCGTCAGGCACTCCTCCAGCATCTGTTCACTTGTTCTGCGTCTCACAAATGTTCTTCTGTGTGATCCAAACACCTCAAACTTAGATTTGTCTGTCCATAACACTTTTTTCCAGTCTTCCTCTGTCCAATGTCTGTGTTCTTTTGCCCATCTTAATCTTTTCCTTTTATTGGCCAGTCTCAGATATGGCTTTTTCTTTGCCACTCTGCCTAGAAGGCCAGCATCCCGGAGTCGCCTCTTCACTGTGGACGTTGAGACTGGCGTTTTGCAGGTACCATTTTGAAGCTGCCAGTTGAGGACCTGTGAGGCGTCTATTTCTCAAAACTAGAGACTCTAATGTACTTGTCTTCTTGCTCAGTTGTGCAACGGGGCCTCCCACTTCTCTTTCTATTCTGGTTAGAGCCTGTTTTGTCTCTGAAGGGAGTAGTAAACACCGTTGTAGGAAATCCTCAATTTCTTGGCATTTCTCGCATGGAAATAGCCTTCATTTCTCAGAACAAGAATAGACTGTCGAGTTTCAGAAGAAAGTTCTCTTTTTCTGGCCATTTTGAGAGTATAATCGAACCCACAAATGCTGATGCTCCAGATACTCAACTAGCTCAAAGGAAGGCCAGTTTTATAGCTTCTCTAATCAGCACAACAGTTTTCAGCTGTGCTAACATAATTGCACAAGGGTTTTGTAATCATCAATTAGCCTTTTAACACGATTAGCTAACACAATGTACCATTA